CATAGTGGCTGTACTAGTCTGCATTCCCACCAACAGTGTAAAAGTGTTCCCTTTTATCTGCACCCTCTCTAGCATTTACTGTTTGTAGATTTTTTGATAGCAGCCATTCTGACTGGCATGAGATGGTACCTCATTGTGGTTTCGATATTCATTTCTCTGATAATGAGTGATGTTGAACATCTTTTCATGTGTTCGTTAGCCATCTGTATGTCTTCTTTGGAGAAATGTCTGTTTAGTTCTTTGGCCCATTTTTTGATTGGGTCATTTATTTTTCCAGAATTGAGCTGCATGTGCTGCTTGTATATTTTTGAGATTAATTCTTTGTCTGTTGCTTCACTTGCTATTACTTTCTCCCTTTCTGAAGGGTGTCTTTTCACCTTGCTTTTCACCTTGTGCAAAAGCTTTTAAGTTTAATTAGGTCCCATTTGTTTATTTTTGCTTTTATTTCCTTTACTCTGGGAGGTGGGTCATAGAGGATCCTGCTGTGATTTATGCCAGAGAGTGTTTTGCCTATGTTTTCTTCTGGTAGTTTTATAGTTTCTGGTCTTACATTTAGATCTTTAATCCATTTTGAGTTTATTTTTGTGTATGGTGTTAGAAAGTTTTCTAGTTTCATTCTTTTACAAGCTGTTGACCAGTTTTCCCAGGACCGCTTGTTAAAGAGATTGTCTTTTCTCCATTGTATATTCTTGACTACTTTGCCAAAAATAAGGCATCCATATGTGTGTGGATTTATCTCTGAACTTTCTATTTTGTTCCATTGATCTATATTTCTGTCTTTGTGCCAGTGCCATACTGTCTTGATGACTGTAGCTTTGTAGTATAGTCTGAAGTCAGGAAGGTTGATTCCTTCAGTTCCATTCTTCTTTCTCAAAATGGCTATGGCTATTTGAGGTTTTTTGTATTTCCATACAAATTGTGAAATTATTTGTTCTAGTTCTCTAAAAAATACTGTCAGTAGCTTGATAGGGATTGCACTAAATCTATAGCTTGCTGTGGGTAATATACTCATTTTCACTATACTGATTCTTTTGAGTCATAAACATGGTATACTTATCCATCTATTTGTATAATCTTTGATTTCTTTCATCAGTGTTTTATAGTTTTCTATACATAGGTTTTTTGTTTCTTTAGGTAGATTTATTCCTAAGTATTTTATTCTTTTTGCTGCAATGGTGAATGGAATTGTTTCCTTAATTTCTTTTTCTTTTTTCTCATTGTTGGTGTATAGGAATGCAAGGGTTTTCTATGTGTTAATTTCATATCCTGCAACTTTACTATATTCATTGATTAGCCCTAGTAATTTTCTGGTGGTGTCTTTAGGGTTTTCTATGTAGAGGATCATGTCATCTGCAAGCAGTGAGAGTTTTACTTCTTTTCCAGTCTGGATTCCTTTTATTTCTTTTGCTTCTCTGATTGCTGTGGCTAAAACTTCCAAAACTATGTTGAACAGTAGTGGTGAGAGTGGATACTCTTGTCTTGTTCCTGACCTTAGGGGAAATGCTTTCAATTTTTCACCATTGAGAATAATGTTTGCTATGGATTTATCATATATGGCTTTTATTATGTTGAGGTATGTTCCTTCTATGCCTGCTTTCTAGAGGGTTATTATCATAAATGGATGTTGAATTATGTCAAAGCCTTTCTCAGCATCTACTGAGATAATCATATGGTTTTTATTTTTCAATTTGTTAATGTGGTGTATCACATTGATTGATTTGCGAATATTGAAGAATCCTTGCATCCCTGGGATAAAATCCACTTGGTCATGAGGTATGATCTTTTTAATATGTTGTTGGATTCTGTTTGCTAGATTTTTTTTAAGGATTTTTGCATCTATGTTCATCAGTGATATTGGCCTGTAGTTTTCTTTTTCTGTGGCATCTTTGCTTTTGGTATTAGGGTGATGGTGGTGTCATAGAATGAGCTTGGAAGTTTATCTTCCTCTGCAATTTTCCGGAAGAGTTTGAGTAGGATAGCTGTTAGCTCTTTTCTAAATTTTTGGTAGAATTCAGCTGTGAAGCCATCTGGTCTTGGACTTCTGTTTGTTGGAGGAATTTTGACTATAGTTTCAATTTCCACACTTGTGATGGGTCTGTTAAGATTTTCTATTTTTTCCTGGTTCAGTTTTGGAAAGTTATACTTTTCTAAGAATTTTTCCATTTCTTCCAGGTTTTCCATTTTATTGGCATATAGTTACTGGTAGTAGTCTCTTATGATCCTTTGTATTTCTTTGTTGTCTCCATTTTCATTTCTAATTTTGTTGATTTGATTCTTCTCTCTTTTTTTTTTTTTCTTGGTGAGTCTGGCTAATGGTTTGTCTATTTTATTTATCTTCTCAAAGAACCAGCTTTCAGTTTTGTTGATTTTTGCCATAGTCTCCTTGTTTTTTTTTTTTTTCACTTATTTCTACCCTAATTTTTATTATTTCTTTCCTTCTATTAACCGTGGGGTTCTTCATTTCTTCTTTTTCTAGTTGCTTTAGGTGTAAAGTTAGGTTATTTATTTGATTTTTCTCTTGTTTCTTGAGGTAAGCTTGTATTGCTATGAACCTTCCCCTTAGCACTACTTTTACTGAATCTCATAGTTTTGGGGTTGTCACGTTTTCATTTACATTCATTTCTAAGGATACTTTGATTTCTTCTGTGATTTGTTGGTTATTCAGAAGTGTGTTGTTTAGCCTCCATATGTTTGTGTTTTTAATAGCTTTTTTCCCCCCATAGTTGACATCTAATCTTACCACATTATGACCAGAAAAGATGCTTGAAATGATTTCAATTTTTTTAAAAAAATTTACCAAGGCTAGATTTATGGTTCAGGATGTGATCTATCCTGGAGATGATTCTGTGTGCACTTGAGAAAAATGTGAAATTCATTGTTTTGGGGTGAAATGTCCTATAGATATCAATTAGATCTAACTGGTCCATTGTATCATTTAGAGCTTGTGCTTCCTTGCTAATTTTCTGTTTAGTTGATCTATCTATAGGTGTGAGTGGAGTATTAAAGTCTCCCACTATTATTGTGTTACTGTTAATTTCCTCTTTCATACTTGCTAGCTTTTGCCTTACATATTGCAGTGCTACTATGTTGAGTGCATATGTATTTATAATTGTTATATCTTCTTCTTGGATTGATCCTTTGATCATTATGTAGTGTCCTTCTTTGTCTCTTTTCATGCCCTTTATTTTAAAGTCTATTTTATCTGATATGAGTATTGCTAGTCCTGGTTTCTTTTGGTCTCCATTTGCATGAAATATCTTTTTCCAGCGCTTCACTTTCAGTCTGTATGTGTACGTTGTTTTGAGGTGGGTCTCTTGTAAACAGCCTATATAGGGGTCTTGTTTTTGTATCCATTCAGCCAGTCTTTGTCTTTCGGTTGGGGCATTCAACCCTTTTACATTTAAGGTAATTATTGATAAGTATGATCCCATTGCCATTTACTTTGTTGCTTTGGGTTCGAGCTCATAAACCTTTTCTGTGTTTCCTGTCTAGAGGAGATCCTTTAGCATTTGTTAAGAGCTGCTTTGTTCGTGCTGAATTCTCTCAGCTTTTCCTTGTCTGTAAAGCTTTTTATTTCTCCTTCATATTTGAATGAGATCCTTGCTGGGTATAGTAATCTGGGTTGTAGGTTTTTCTCTTTCATCACTTTAAGTATGTCTTGCCATTTCCTTCTGGCCTGAAGAGTTTCTGTTGAAAGATCAGCTGTTATCCTTATGGGAATCCCCTTGTGTGTTATTTGTTGTTTTTCCCTTGCTGCTTTTAATATTTGTTCTTTGTGTTTGATCTTTGTTAATTTGATTAATATGTGTCTTGGGGTGTTTTGACTTGGGTTTATCCTATTTGGGTCTCTCTGGGTTTCTTGGACTTGGGTGGCTATTTCCTTCCCCATTTTAGGGAAGTTTTCAACTATTATCTCCTCAAGTATTTTCTCATGGCCTTTCTTTTTGTCTTATTCTTCTGGGACTCCTATAATTCAAATGTTGGGGCATTTAATATTGTCCCAGAGGTCTCTGAGTTTGTCCTCGTTTCTTTTAATTCTTTTTTCTTTTTTCCTCTCTGCTTCACTTATTTCCACCATTCTATCTTCCAGCTCACTTATCAGCTGCCTCAGTTATTCTACTGTTGGTTCCCTCCAGAGTGCTTTTGACCTCAATTATTGCATTATTCATTATTGACTGACTCTTTTTTACTTCTTCTAGGTCCTTGTTAAACATTTCTTGTATCTTCTCAATCCTTATCTCCAGTCTATTTATCTGTAACTCTATTTCATTTTCAAGATTTTGAATCATCTTTACTTTCATTATACTGAATTCTTTTTCAGGTAGACTCCCTATCTCCTCCTCTTTGGTTTGGTTTGGTGGGCATTTATCATGCTCCTTTACCTGTTGAATATTTTTCTGCCTTTTCATTTTGTTTAGATTGCTGTGTTTGGGGTGGCTTTTCTTTATGCTAGAAGTTTGTGGTTCCTCTTCATTGTGGAGGTTGCTCCCTGTGGGTGAGGTTGAACTAGTGGCTTGTCAAGGTTTCACAGTTAGGGAAGCTTGTGTTGATGTTCTGGGGGGTGGAGCTGTACCTCTTCTCTCTGGAGTGCAATGACGTGTCCAGTAGTGAATTTTGAGGCGTCTACGGGTTTGGTGTGACTTTTGGCTGAATGGTGTACATTTTCTAAAGTCACTTTTATCTCTTTAAACCTTGGAGTCAATTGAGTTCAAATGTAACTCGGTGCACTCATCTCCCTCATTAGTATTCTTCTTCAGAGAGAGAAAAATGATCAAGAAGAGAACTTGAGACGTTTCACTTCATATAAATGTCTAGCATTTTTGAGAGTTTGCCTTCTCTAAATTGCCCCCAAATAGCTCTACTAGTGAGCATGTACACTTAATTTTGGTCATCTGACTTCAAAATATATACGGGCAACAATAAAACACGACACATTTTACCTCCTTGCATTTCCTCTTGCATTGATTCATTTTGCTTAGAAAAAAGGAAAATATACTCACTGAGGTTGTGGTTGTCCTTTTTTTGTCTCTCCTTTGCCAAAGCTCGAGTATCGGTTTCTGATCAAAAGGAAAATAATGGAAACAGTACTTATTTCTACCTTACAATCCTTCCAGTCAACAAAATTCAGAAATACAAGTGAAAATATAATATTACTTACTCCAGGTGGTACAACAAATTTTTTTGCAAATATTTAGAAATTTTAAACAACATATTAGTAAGCAGGCAGTGGCAAAATCTATGGGATTTAAATAGTAAAACCTGAATTTGTACTCTGGCCCTCCATTTAGTAGCTTTGGGGTCTGTTACCTAAGTTCTCATCTGTGAAGTTGGTATGATACTTACTAAATATCATTGTTATGATAAAAAGAAGTAGAGTATACAGTAAGTATTAACCTGCTTAATCATTTTTACTAGAATTGTTCTCAGAACTTTAAGATTATTCAAAATTATTTCAACCTAAATTTTCAAAGCCTACATTTTTTATAAATAATTGTGATTTCTAAATTCAAAGAATTGAAACTAACTACATTTCTCATATTCCTATCAAACAAATCCATACTTTAAGTAACAGACACTTTATGTGCTATGTGGTTGTAAGCACTTGTGATAGTCAGACTCCAAACTGGCCCACCATGATTCTCATTCATGATAATCATACTTTTGACGGTTCCCTTCCACACTGAATAAGATTGATCTGTGAAACTGATATAATATTGTGGAAATGATTAGTGTGGCTTTCAAGACTAGGTCATAAAAGACATTTTCAGCTTCCCCCTTGGGTGTTCCTAGAATCACTACTTGTCATATCATGAGGACACTTGAGCAGCCCTGTGGAGAGTTCTACATGGTAAAGAACCAAGCAGCACTGACTAGGAAGATGTGTGAGTGAACCATCTTGGGAGTGCATCCTCCAGCCTGTCAAGTGGCAAATATCTGTATCTCTGGCCAACATCTTGACTGCAACCTTACACAAGGCTCTGAGCTAGAAGCAATTTTATAAATCACCCCTGGATTTCTGAAATATAGAGATTGTATGAGATAATTAACATTTATTATTTCAACCTGTTAAGTTTGGGGTACTTTGTTATATAGCAATAGATAATTAATACAATGTTCTCTGAATTATTCTAGTTTTAAAATAGAAATATATAAATATATTTATTAAATTTTGATTATTTGAGATTAAATTAATTTTACTCTAAATAATTTGAATGCATAGATATTTTTGAGTCATTTGTTGGATTCCAAGAATAGAAACATTGCATTTATTAAAAATGCTGATATTAACTAAAGAAATATACTTAAAGATTAATGTTTGAGTGCTGAACTAAAAACATGTTATGGAAATTTCTATTAAATTTTATTTTATTTTATGGAGAAACTAACACTAGACTTGTAAGTGAGGAGATCCTTATTTTGATCAAGTTTTGCTTCTAATCAGATGTATACCATTGGGAAATAACTCCTCTGACTATTTCCTCATCTACCTATTGAAGAAACTTGAAAGTGCCCCTGTAATTCCTTTAAGTTGTAACAATTTTGAAATTTATTATTGAAGACAGAGGGGTTTTTACACACTTGAGAAAGTTAAATGTGAATCATGAAATCTGTGAAACAAGTTGAAAAGAGGAAAGTCTATTTTTTCCTAGTCTATTAATCTGTTATTTTGCAAACATGTTAATAAATTGAATATTTGCAATATCAAAATGAGCCTATATTAAGTGAAAGTTAGCTAAGTTAAGTTGTTCAGTCATATCCAACTCTTTGCGACCCCATGGACTGCAGTCTGCCAGGGTCCTCCATCCGTGGGATTTTCCAGGCAAGAATACTGAAGTGGGCTGCCATTTCCTTCTGCAGGGGATCTTCCCGAGCCAGGGATTGAACCTGAGTCTCCCACACTGTGGGCAGACTCTTTACTGTCTGAACCACCAGGGAAGCCCACGGTGAAAGTGGAACTTAGCCAAACTGTCATAGACATTCGACTAAAGGTTATGTGTGTCTATTTGTATGTGTCCAGTTCCTGAAATCACTGAGGAGTTGAACTGTAGGTTATACTAACTTGTTGCTTGGTTGTTATAAAGGAAAAAAAGGTGGAGTTACTCTTGAAATGTTTCCCATTTTAACTACAGGAAGCCTCTTACTTGCGAATGAGTTCCTTTCCAAGCGTGCACTCAAAAGTCCAATTTGTTTTTAAGTCCAACAAAATTAGCCTAGGTACCCAACTAACACAATCAGCCATATAGTACTGTACTGTAATCGTTCAATAATACTTTTCACACAAATTATACACAAAAAAACACAAAATAAAGAAAACATTTTTAATCTTATAGTACAGCACCTTGGAAAGTCCAGTACAATAACTGGCAATTCTTAGCAGTATCAGCTAAATCACACTGCTTTTACACTTGCTTTCAGACATCCTGGACTTGAAATAAAGATACTGTACTACTGTCCTCTATACAGTACTGTACAGTAAAGTACACAAGAGCACAACCCCTGGAAGAGGATGCACGCTTGTGACAATGTATGACGGACAAGCGAACTAACTTACATGATTGAACATGCAAACACACGTTCACATCTTTGATATTTTGCAATTTGAAGGTTCATATGTAGAAGACTTACTATAACTATTTTGATAATATTTCAAAAATTGTCTTTAGATTGGAATTATATGTAGCTCATGTCTTAGAGAGTTGATTTTTTCTTAAAGAAAACTATAAAAGCAACATTACCTGTAATTTCTCTTTTCATTGGAAGACTACTTGGACAAGAAGCACTTGTAAGGCCCATATTAACTGGTGAAATTTCCTGCTCACCACTGTACACATCCAAAATACTTCCAGATACCTTTAAATGAAAAAGGTAGAAAAGATCAATCAAATCTTTGGTGAATATTGATATATTTAATTGTATTATCCAAAATTGACCAATTGTTAATAGTAACTTGTAATATATAGCATTTTATTTTAAACAAAAATGAATATGCATTAACTTTGTAAAGTCTTTGGGGAATGCTTGTGGATAAGATATGTTGAAAAAAGCTATTTGTACTTAAGAAAAAGGAGAAATTAGTTCACTCATGAAAAAAAAATTTTATTAATATTTACAAAGTTATGGGAATTTGATCCAGCAGATTACCTGGTTATAAATGAATAAGATTAAAAATATCACTTTAGACAAAAATCAATATACATATTAGTAAAGCTTGAAAATTCATTACATATCATAAATTAGGCATAATAGTTGAATATTTTGGAAACCTTCTTAATACCATCAGTGCTACCAGCAATTCACAGTCAAGAGGTTTTTTATACTGTTAATTAAGTGAGAAACTTTCTTTCCTTCCTGGAAGGCATACTTTTTCTCATTGTACACTTAATGTTCTAGATTATTATAAATATCCAGCTGGTAACCAAAAGTAGTCTAAAACTGCTTTGCCTCAAGTGGATATAGGGTATATCTAATTATAGCAACACTGCAATTCTTAAAGTGCTCCTCGGGAGCAATTTTTCAGAAAGCTAAGATGCTTTATACACAATTCAAAATTGTACCAATTTGTTATTGAAAATGTGCTTATTGATTGATCTCCTAAGAAAATTAAATTTAAATAATATTCATAACTCAAGTTAATATTTATTATTCCAGAACAACCTACATTTAAAATGTAAGATTTGAACATTTTAAATATTTCCATTCTAATTATCTTTATTTCATTTCTGGGAAGTCAACCAAGAGCCGAATAAGCAGTACCTGTTTACTTTCCTTTAAGAAATTATCAAACAAAGCTATATTCAGATTATTATGGAAACTCTAACTCCTTATTCCCATTTTTTGTAGAACTCCAAGCTGAAGGAAATTTTTTTAATACTAATAAAATCAGACTGAAAATAATTGTGAAGAAAGGACACATGAAGACAAAAATTAGTTTCTGAAATAATAATCTATTAAATTATGTGATTAATATTGTATATTTCTGAGGGAAAAGTACTTGGAAAATATAGTGGAAATCAGGCTAATACACAAGTGTATATGCATATCAACAAGAACATTATAGATTGCATATGGTATTATGATGCATGTTTTCATATATTGGTTCTTTTCATTATTTACTCTGTCAGGACTCCTCATCTTTATTTTATATAAATTCATTGATTATATAACAATGAAGGACAGGGAACTCTGGCGTGCTGCAGTCCATGGGGTCGCAAACAGTTGGATATGACTGAGCATCTGAACAACAACATCATTTTAAAATGTGTTTTTTTGCATCCTGGATATTAGAAGTGAGCTACTGAGATATTTATTCCCTCTCAATTTCCTTATCTGAAAAATAGGGACAAGAAAAACCTATCAAATTGGATAAATGATGAGTGTAAGTATCAGAGTGATACAATTAGAAACAAATTCTAAAAGCACACATTTCCCTAACATGTGAGTCATTTAGCTATATATGTAGAATTTTAAAGCTTCCAGGTCTTTTTTGAAAACCCTGTTGGTTATAAGTGGAGGCATCACCAACCTGAATTGTACATTTGCACTCTGCCTTTGAGAAACATAATGACATGCTGAACTAAAAGACAGGGAGTGAGGGAGGAAGAAGGGGGAAAGAACTACGAAAAGGGCATTTTCCTCTAAAGAGCTTGAAATCAGATAGATTCAATGCAGCAGTAGCAAACAGTATAAATGTTTAAGAGGAGCCATATTACATTTGCACTGCAACAATAAAGTGATAGGTTCCCAGCTAAAACATTTCACTGGGTTAATATTACTTGGTCTGACCATACCCAACGCATTTTTCTATAGAAGTGGGGCTAGAGTTCTGATAATGAATTCAATCCTGCTTAACTGTGGGTCTATCACATCTTCTCCCGACCTTCTGTTGTTCTTCAGTTACTCCAGTAGTGTCTGACCTGCAACGCTGTGAACTGCAGCATGCCAGGCTTTTCTGCCCTTCACCATGTCCCGGAGTTGATCAGACTCATGTTCATTGAGTCGGTGATGCCATCCAAACATCTCATCTTCTGTCATCCCCTTCTCCTCATACCTTCTATCTTTCCCAGCATCAGGATATTTTCCAGTGAGTCACCTCTTCGAATCAGGTGGAGCTTCAGCTTAAGCATCAGTCCTTCCAATAAACATTCAGGACTGATCTCCTTTAGGATGGACTGGTTTGATCTCCTTGCCGTCCAAGGGACTCTTGAGAGTCTTCTCCAACACCACCGTTCAAAGCATAATTCTTTGGTGCTCAGCCTTCTTCATGGTCCAACTCTCACATCAACACACAACTACTGGAAAAACCTAGCTTTGACTAGATGGACCTTAGCTGGCAAAGTAATGTTTCTGCTTTTTAATACGCTGTCTAGGTTGGTCATATCTTTCCTTCCAAGAAGCAAGTGTCTTCTAACTTCATGGCTACAGTCACAATCTGCAGTGATTTTACAGCCCAGGAAAATAAAGTCTCTCACCATTTCCATTGTTTCTACATTTGCCATGAAAAGATGAGACTGGATGCCATGATCTTAGTTTTTTGAATGTGGAGTTTTAAGCCAAATTTTTCACTCTCCTCTTTCACTTTCATCAAGAGGCTCTTAGCTCCTCTTCACTTTCTGCCATAAAGATGGTGTCATCTGCATATATGAGGTTATTGATATTTCTCCCTGCAATCTTGATTCCAGCTTGTGTTTCATCCAGCCTGGCATTTTGCATAATGTATTCTGCATATAAGTCAAATAAGCCAAGTGGCAGTATACAGCCTTGATGTATTCCTTTCCCAATTTTGAACCAGTCCGTTGTTCCATTTCCATTTCTAACTGCTTCTTAACCTGCATATAGTTTTCTCAGGAAGCAGATAAGGTGATCTGGTATTCCCATATCCTTAAGAATTTTCCACAGTTTGTTGTGATCCACACAGTCAAAGGCTTTAGTGTAGTCAATGAAACAGAAGTAGATGTTTTTCTGGAATTTTCTTGTTTTTTCTATGACCCAGTTGATGTTGGCAATTTGATCTCTCATTCCTCTGCCTTTTTGAAAACCAGCTTGAACATTTGGAAGTTCTCAGTTCACTTACTGTTGAAAGGCTAGCTTGGAGAATTTTGAGTATTACTTTGCTAGTGTGTGAAATGAGTGCAATTGTGCTGTAGTTTGAACATTCTTTGACATTGTTCTTCTTTGGGACTGAAATGAAAACTGGCCTTTTCCAGTCCTGTGGCCACTGCTGAGTTTTCCCAATTTGTTGGTATATTGAGTGGCACACTTTCATAGCATCATCTTTTAGGATTTGAAATAGCTCAGCTGGAATTCCATCACCTCACTAGCTTTGTTCATAATGATGCTTCCTAAGGTCCACTTGACTTCCCACTCCAGGATGTCTGGCCCTAGGTGAGTGATCACACCATCATGGTTATCTAGATCATTAATATCTCTTTTGCATAGTTCTGTGTATTCTTGCTGCTGCTGCTGCTAAGTCACTTCAGTAGTGTCCAACTCTGTGTGACCCCACAGATGGCAGCCCATCAGGCACCCCCGTCCCTGGGATTCTCCAGGCAAGAACACTGGAGTGGGTTGCCATTTCTTTCTCCAATGCATGAAAGTGAAAAGTGAAAGTGAATTTGCCCAGTCGTGTCTGACTCCCAGCGACCCCATGGACCTCAGCCTACCAGGCTCCTCTGTCCACGGGATTCTCCAGGCAAGAGTACTACTGGAGTGGGTTGCCACTGCCCTCTCCGGTATTCTTGCTACCTCTTCTTAATATCTTCTGCTTCATCTGTTCTTCTGCTTCCTGACATCTTCTGTTAGGTCCATACCATTTCTGTCCTTTATTGTGCCAATCTTGGCATGAAATATTCCCTTGACATCTCTAATTTTTTGAAGAGATCTCTAGTCTTTCCCATTCTATTGTTTTCCTCTATTTCTTTCATTGATCACTGAGGAAGGCTTTCTTATCTCTCCTTGCTATTCTTTGGAACTCTGCATTCAGATGGGTGTATCTTTCTTTTTCTCCTTTGCCTTTCACTTGTCTTCTTTTCCCAGCTATTTATAAGTCCTTCTCAGACAACCATTTTGCCATTTTGCAGGGTTTTTTTTCTCCTTGGGGATGGTTTTGATCACTGTCTCCTATACTAGGTTACAAATCTCTGTCCATAGTTCTTCAGGCACTCTGTTCTATCAGATGTAATCCCCTGAATCTATTGGTCCCTTCCACTGTATAATTGTAAGGGATTTGATTTAGGTCATACCTGAATGGCTTAGTGGTCTTCCCTACTTTTTTCAATTTCACTCTGAATTTTGCAATAAGGAGTTCATGATTTGAGCCACAGTCAGCTCCCAGTTTGTTTTTACTGACTGTATAGAGCTTCTCTATCTTCCACTGCAAAGAATATAGTCAATCTAATTTCGGTATTGACCATCTGGTGATGTCCATGTGTAGAGTCACCTCATGTGTTGTTGAAAGAGGGTGTTTGCTATGACCTTGGTTATTGTCTAATTTATGCCCTGAAGCATAATGATTAATATCCTATTTAATTTTATGTTGTACATACCATCTATTTCATGTAAATGGCTAATAACTTTTTAAATATCATTAGACAATTGGTTTCAATGTCAAAATATGTAATATATTTCACATAATCTAAAGAGCCTTTTCTCCATTAAAAGATATGAGTAAAATATTAGGGAAAATTTAAAGATTATATACATATCAGAAAAGGTTTACAAACCAAAGTTATAATCTACTTCAGTATTAAAGTCTAAGTCTAGGCTTTATCTTACAGACTAGTAGGCAACTGGATAGATATTTTATGAAGAAATATTTATTATTCTGGTTAAAAATCATTACTTTTTTCAGAAAA